TGGCCACCACACCCCTGATTAGTGAGACGGTAATCATATATACAGATAAAGTAGTGAAATGTTCAGACCTTTACCTAAAAGAAAACTGTAACTTCTATGGCGGAGGTCTTCAACATGGGGTCCGCGACCCCTAGGGGTTCCACAGGGGTACTGCATGGGGGTTGTGAACGTTTTGGTTGATTAGACAATTTGTTTTTTTTATATTCCCCCTTGCAATTTTTTTTCACTAATTGAAATTTATTTAACTACACATTAACATGAATTCAACACACTGTAGTAAACAGATAAATGGAGGCAGAAGAAGTCTTTCAGTCATCAATGCACAAACTCAGCGACACACAGGATGAACACCTGTCCCATCGACGAGAAATCAGATTCAGAAATACTTTAATAATCCCATGGTGAAATTACTTTCATTATAGTACTCCATAATAGAGTGACTATAGGACCAGTTTGATATAACACAATTTCATACAATATATGTAATTAGGGGGTCCCCGCTCCATCTCGCCATCAGTTTTGGGGTCTTTGGCCTGGAAAATGTTCAAGACCCCTGTTTTATGGTATATCGAGAGAGAGTGAGACTTCAGTCATAGGGTGTGTCCTTTCAAAAGAGAAGAAGGGTAGGAGAAAAGAGGAGTGAACTTGTGTTGGGGTTGTTACTTCCTGTGTGGGCCTTCCTGTAATAAAAACACCTGCACACACCTGTGTGGCAGTTTTGGTAGACAAAGGAAGAGACCGGCTGCCACCTATAATCTAATCACCAGATGCACAACTGGTAAGGAGGAAATTAAGTTGGCTATTGAGATATTGTTTATTAAAAGGTAGAAGTTGAGTTAGAAGATATTGTAATGTGGCTCGTGGCCTGGTAATGTTCAGTTTATATTGTGCATATGGGTGAGCCACAGCGAAAATATTTGATTTAAAAATGTTTGTTTTGAACTAAATCAATTTCTGTTGGTCAAACTGTTTGAAAGGATTTCAACCTAAATCCCAATCCTAAATCCTCAAATAGAACACAATGGAAAAAGATTTGAGTTGTGCCTGGGGTCTTTCTTGGTGATGACCAACCATTTTTCAAGTTTGGGCAAGAGCTGAAGTTAGAAACCACACATAACTTCCCAGCGTGATAGAGCAACATTCTGTAGGGAATAAACATAGCACCTGCTGGGTTTTTTTATGCTAGTCATAATAGCTGTGGTCATTTATTATTAGATGCTAAAGTTTAAAAACTCAGTTAGTTTAAAATGTAAATCCCACTATCATTTTGTCTTTATTTTTGTTCCAGGGAATTAATAAAGAAAAAATGGTAAATCCAATCCATATACCTCATGATCATGATCAAATCAGTATTGGCAGATCTGATGGCCACAAAATCATCTATAACCCAAGTTCACAGTCATTACAGTGTTGAAGACATTTTTCTAAATGTTTGTTAGTAATATTTAAAAAGAATTTGGCTGATTCAGACTTTACTAACACACGTTTACAATTTACAATTTACAGGGTTCAGTTCCAACAGCCTCCACTCTGGGTTCCTGAATAAGACCCAATAAGACCCCACACTGCTCCCCAGGCGCCACACAGTCGCAGCCAATCAATCAAGCCAATCGATCAAAATGCAAAGTTAATTTTTAATTGCTCTGTACTTGTGACAGTGTAATAACAATAAAAGCTGTAAAAAACAGAACTAAACCCCCCACTTTTTTTTATTACAGTAGCTATCTAATCGGTCTTCAAAGACGGGTATTCCAACAACTATTTTACCTACATTTGAAATTTCATTTTTACCAGAAATGTTAAGTGAATAAAATATCATGCTTTATTTGCATTTAGAATAAATGCTTAAGGTAATAAAATATTATAGTTAGGTTAGAGTGTTATCACTTATGTTTTAAACATGCATGTTATAAAGTGACAAAGTAAAACTAGTTAACAGGTTGCAATCTGTGAGGAAGAAGAAACCCACAAAACCGACATTTAAACATTTAATATTTTAAGAAACTGTTAAAGCTTTCAACATTTTTCGAGAAGTAAATACAATGCCCTGTAGTAGGAAGTGATCTTTATAAATGCAAATTGATATTTTTCATCAGCCTTTTATTCACAACATACCCCATAAATATTGCATGAACTCCCTGAGCTGAAAAATTTGTCTTGCAATAACCCTTTTCACACTTTAAACAGCACACTGCAAGTTATAATGACTGCACACAGGTGCGAGCTAGGATTTTAACTGAAATGCTCAACAATTGTACTCTTTAGAGGATGTTTGAGAACATGTGTAAATTGTTAGATGTTGACTAAGAGCCTATTACCATTGAAATTTCATCATAAACAAATTTAAGAATTGATTCCAGTTACACACTAAGAAANTAGGAGAAAAGAGGAGTGAACTTGTGTTGGGGTTGTTACTTCCTGTGTGGGCCTTCCTGTAATAAAAACACCTGCACACACCTGTGTGGCAGTTTTGGTAGACAAAGGAAGAGACCGGCTCCCAGCCGTGGTCTAATCACCAGATGCACAACTGGTAAGGAGGAAATTAAGTTGGCTATTGAGATATTGTTTATTAAAAGGTAGAAGTTGAGTTAGAAGATATTGTAATGTGGCTCGTGGCCTGGTAATGTTCAGTTTATATTGTGCATATGGGTGAGCCACAGCGAAAATATTTGATTTAAAAATGTTTGTTTTGAACTAAATCAATTTCTGTTGGTCAAACTATTTGAAAGGATTTCAACCTAAATCCCAATCCTAAATCCTCAAATAGAACACAATGGAAAAAGATTTGAGTTGTGCCTGGGGTCTTTCTTGGTGATGACCAACCATTTTTCAAGTTTGGGCAAGAGCTGAAGTTAGAAACCACACATAACTTCCCAGCGTGATAGAGCAACATTCTGTAGGGAATAAACATAGCACCTGCTGGGTTTTTTTATGCTAGTCATAATAGCTGTGGTCATTTATTATTAGATGCTAAAGTTTAAAAACTCAGTTAGTTTAAAATGTAAATCCCACTATCATTTTGTCTTTATTTTTGTTCCAGGGAATTAATAAAGAAAAAATGGTAAATCCAATCCATATACCTCATGATCATGATCAAATCAGTATTGGCAGATCTGATGGCCACAAAATCATCTATAACCCAAGTTCACAGTCATTACAGTGTTGAAGACATTTTTCTAAATGTTTGTTAGTAATATTTAAAAAGAATTTGGCTGATTCAGACTTTACTAACACACGTTTACAATTTACAATTTACAGGGTTCAGTTCCAACAGCCTCCACTCTGGGTTCCTGAATAAGACCCAATAAGACCCCACACTGCTCCCCAGGCGCCACACAGTCGCAGCCAATCAATCAAGCCAATCGATCAAAATGCAAAGTTAATTTTTAATTGCTCTGTACTTGTGACAGTGTAATAACAATAAAAGCTGTAAAAAACAGAACTAAACCCCCCACTTTTTTTTATTACAGTAGCTATCTAATCGGTCTTCAAAGACGGGTATTCCAACAACTATTTTACCTACATTTGAAATTTCATTTTTACCAGAAATGTTAAGTGAATAAAATATCATGCTTTATTTGCATTTAGAATAAATGCTTAAGGTAATAAAATATTATAGTTAGGTTAGAGTGTTATCACTTATGTTTTAAACATGCATGTTATAAAGTGACAAAGTAAAACTAGTTAACAGGTTGAAATCTGTGAGGAAGAAGAAACCCACAAAACCGACATAAAATTTATCTTTAAGTGGAAACATTTAATATTTTAAGAAACTGTTAAAGCTTTCAACATTTTTCGAGAAGTAAATACAATGCCCTGTAGTAGGAAGTGATCTTTATAAATGCAAATTGATATTTTTCATCAGCCTTTTATTCACAACATACCCCATAAATATTGCATGAACTCCCTGAGCTGAAAAATTTGTCTTGCAATAACCCTTTTCACACTTTAAACAGCACACTGCAAGTTATAATGACTGCACACAGGTGCGAGCTAGGATTTTAACTGAAATGCTCAACAATTGTACTCTTTAGAGGATGTTTGAGAACATGTGTAAATTGTTAGATGTTGACTAAGAGCCTATTACCATTGAAATTTAATCATAAACAAATTTTAGAATTGATTCCAGTTACACACTAAGAAATAAAAAAAAAAACCCTATTATATTCCTTAGACATACAGCACAAAACAGCAGAAACAAACAGCTGGAAACATTTGACCCTGGCTTAATGCTTTCCTTCTCAAACATTTATATGTTTTCTAAACTCTGTTTGATGAAAAATGACTGTAGGAGTACACAAGCCTGTGTGCTGGAATGAAATCTGTGATGAAGCATTCCTCCTTGTTGAGTTGAAAGTGATGGGAAATGGATATAAAAAGAAGATGTGGGAAAAGACAGATTATGAAATGCTGATGGAGTAGCCTCAGCTCTGCCATTTATCAAAATAATTAACCATAATCAGCACCATCCACAGAGAGAGGTGGAAGATGTAGGGAAAAGTGACTATGTAAGAAAAATACCTTTAAAGTGAAGAAGTTGACATGTAATAGAAAAGTAAATCACTTTATTTAGCATATCTTTTACAAGTGAATTTTAGTGAGGTGGAATGAAAAGCATAAATCATGTTTGAGAAATCAATTTTTAAATCAAACCCACCTTTAATCAGTAAAGAGAAACAGATCTACAGATGGTCATTGCCACTTCTTTATGTAAACCTCAACCTCTTACGGTTCTGCATCGGAGCTCAACCTGTCCTGATTAGGTGGCAACGGCATTTCACATCATTTCAAGTCATCAACTGACCATGGGATTGGATAAAAACCTGAGACTATAATAAACTACAGGCTACAGGCCATGGGTTCTTTTTAGCTAACAAATAATTGGAGAACATGCATTAGAATAGGCTCTTTATTTGAGTTTAAATTTCACAAGTACCTGTGATGCCTCATTAAACTAAGAACAAGATAGATCAGCTAATTTCATTCCTGATGATTCGCAGGTGATGGAGGTCCTACAGTAGAGGACTTATGGGGCAAGGCTCATACATATGCCTAAATGAGACATCAGCAAAGGTAAGGTTCAGCCTATGATATGGAGTTAATGTCTGTGTCTATCTTCTTTTCATTGGGATTATGTGTCATCAGATTTCTTTACCGTTATTCTAACCTGGTTTAATAATCTTTAGATTACATTTGCATTCACTTTTCTATGCTGCTATCAAATATCCCCCCTCCCAACATGACCTCACATAGTTGTTTTTTTCTTCCATAATTTCATCATAAACCTTTTTAGAAGTCAGTTATATACCAAAACATTATTTGCACATATTTGTAAAATAATCTTCACAAATTCAACATGTTTATTCTGATACCAAGGTGATTAGGTTAACCTATCATTTAGCCTGAATGTTCTTTCTCTTCCTTAAAAACTGGTGCTAGGGTCCTTGATCTTAATTATGCTTTTTCCTTTCTATAGTGGTTGATAATGAACCTGTCAGACCTAAAAGAGAAAACAGGGATTAGTTATATTCCTTCCACCTAATATTTATGCATACTTTATGCTTGTATGTCACATAAAATCCAAATAACATTCATTTAAGTTTCGGTTTTAATGTAACAAAATATGAATGAACCCTTTACCACTGTAGACGAAACCCTTTTGTTAAATCTTGCAAACATCAGGCGTCTCCTCTCAGCAAATTTAAATTACTTGGGTCATCTGACAGGCTGACAGATTATCTAAAATACCAAGTCAGCTCACGCCATGTCTCCAGCCAAGTTCCCATTACACATGCTGATCTGTTCATCTTCATTTATTATTTACAACCACATGCAGTCAGAGCCATGTAGGCCATTTTATGAGAGTTTAAAATTTAAATACTTCAAAATTCCTGGGTAATTTGGACAATGACCTGACAGCAGAAAGGTGCCTCACTGAATATAGTTTCAAAGAGATTTACAACCAGTACTGAGGGTGGCATCATTGTGGATTTTATCAGTGACTGCTTGAGTCCAGACGGTTTTAAGACTCCAACAATTTAAGTTAATGCTTTTTCAGCAAACAGTATCTTAAAAAACAAAAAGTCCTATTACAGATTTCTACTATAATAGCTTTTGTTGGTCAGACTTATTTTTTTCAGATCATTAAGCACACTTTACAACTGAAAAAGAAATACTGAGTACATACAAAATACAGTTCTTGAAATGATGACCTTATTTGCGAGAAGAGCAAAAGTTTTCCAAACCCACCCGAGCATTGATGAAGTATTCACCCCCTAATGGAACATTTTTACCAACCACAGATACTGATTATGGCAAAACCTGTGATATACAAAAAAAATAAATAAATAGGACCAACAAGAGCATCTAAAGTTGTGCAGGCCTCTCATGCCTCAGTTAAGGAGCGTTTTTTTTCTAGAAATTGATAAGATAGAAAACGGGCAGAAATATTTTCCCAAGAGAGCTCTTAGGTGAACACCCCTGCCGAAGAAAAACAATAGTACGGCTTTTATCTCAGTTGTCAATTTGCTTTCTACCAGAAACTTCTGAAGGAGAATATCCAAGAATCAGTTCATATTTGATTTATGATGCAGCACAGACTGCAAACAACCAAGTCAACCTCTAAATGGATTTAAAACAAAGCAAATGTATTGGAATGACCTGGTCAAAGTCTAAACTTTAAATCGGAAACTATAAATCGTAAATAAGCTGTTCTTTCTCAAAGTCTATTAAAAGAGCTCAATAAAACAATTTACCAGTGCAACAACATCACTGGTTTTAGCTGATCAAGAAAGCAATAATTGAACCTAAACGCCTTTGTACATATATATGTAGTACAAACTAAATATTTATTCATTTAATCAAAGTTTAGACCTCACCTTGATACCTCTTTAATTGTTTTCTTGAAAGGTTGTTAAGTCCTCGCACCTGGCTGTTTTTAATTATTGTGTGCATGTACAGAGTAGTTCGGCTTTCACATTTTCCAACCATGTCTGCCTGAAACCATTCCTATATGACCCTGACCTTTTCAGAACCTAATGGGATTACGGAACACTGACTGCCAATTAAAAGAGAAACAAAACAGGCAATGAGAGCACATGGGTGTAATTGCTATAAAAACCCTTAAGGTAAACACATGTTCCCGCTACAGGCACACTAAGTGAGATATAGAGTGTTAAGGAAGAGAATGAGAAGTGAGGCTGAATGTGTGAGAGTATAAATAAATAAATAAAAACAGGGGAGAAGGGAGTCAAACTGCAGAGGCAGGCTCGCATGAGAATGTGTTGTTAATTTGGCCACGTTTTAATTAGCTCTTGTGACACAGAGTGGGCTAATGGGGAGCCCTGAAGATCTGGGCAGACTGGCAGCCTGAAAGAGGCCACCAGATTGGCATGCCTAACCACTGCCTGTTTCAGACATGCAGCTGGGCACTCACATTCCCCCACAGCTGCTGCAAGGGCCCAGAGGTGCTGTTTAAAAAAGATAAAGGCCTGACTGTGGAACACACTTGCTTACTGGTGCTGCTTCATTACTTTTTATTGTCTTTCATTTTAGTTTTTTTTTTGTCTCCTGTGTTCAGTCTAATTAAATCGTAATCATTTCTTTCGTCTCTCTAAAAGAAAGGATTTGACAGTTATTTAAGAAAATATTGCTCCCTCCAAGTCTCTAAGGAAAGATTTCTGTTTACAGAGTTCACACATGAGCTACGTTTAAAAGTGGTTCTGTGTCTGCTCTGCGAATATGAGGCCGGCTGATATTTAAAGAGTTTGACTATTTTATGAGTTTCAGTCTTATAAAATAGAGGGAGCGAACAAAGACAATCCTGTGTGAACGCAAACAGTGCGTGCCCTGATGGAAAGTGCAAATATGAGCCTAACTGCTTCAGTTTTCAGAGGGGATTTATGACAAGCAGTCTTATTATCTGGCAGTGAGATTACTGCCATACGCTCCACTCCACAACAAAGAAGGGCCATGCCACATAAAGCCCAAAGTGGTTTCTGACACAGTACTCTGCACTTTCAACACAGATTTAAAGGATGAATACACTATTCTGCTTTTTGGAGGGTGGCAATGAGTTAGTTGCCCTAAGCCTAATAGACCCACTCAATGCTTCTGCTGTTTTTTCTTTCGAGGTATTTGGTAAGCAAGGCAATCAAAAGAAAGGAAGAATGTAACAATTTCCCTAGTAACACCAAACACAACAAACCTTTTGTCAGAAAGAAATAGAGACTGGTTAATCAGTATCAGTGGAAATTACATCAGCTCGGAAATATCTGCAGGTGCCTAAAAATGCCACAGAGAACCTTAGGCAAAATTAAAGAAAATCCTAATCAAGTTTACCGTGGGATTTTAAAAATTGAGTAACATAAGACTAGGTTGCTAAGTTGTTGTGTTGTGTATGTGGACCAAACTGTGCATTTACCATAAATGTTTGTACAAGTTTTGCATGACTGTCACTTTTTGGACTACAACAAATTACTTTGAAACTGTGAAATACTCACAGCGCGTTACTGTAATTTCATATCCGGGATATTATAATACATTGTTGAAAAATCACGTAGCATGTATAATGTAACATTACAACAATGACAAAGCATTTACCATGATATTAAAATACAGGAAGTACAGTACATCATTTTGTTATGCATCATTACAATACGGCACTGTATCTTTGCAGTGTTTATTGTGGAAATAATGTAAAGTTGTCAGTAATTTGATGTGAATTTACAATCTAAATAGTGAAAGCAATGCAATGAACACACACCGGAGGACAATTTAGAGTTGCCACTTAACCTGGCAGTCATTTTTTTGGACCCTGGGGTGAAAGCCAGAGTACCCAGAGAGAACCCACAAATGCACAGGGAGAACATGCAAACTTCATGGAAGAGGAATCAAACCTAGAGCCTTATTGCTGCAAGGCAACAGTGCCACTACCTGAGCCACAGCACAGCCATGTTGTGCATTTTTACAGATGAATTTATTATTAATTTTAACTGGCGGTTATATTTGATGAATTATTTTAATCAGCGAAAGCAATAACCTTAATGTTGGTCAAATGATTAAAATCGACACTTTGCTCAAATATCAGGAACGAAGTTGAGATTTGGGTCATTTCTCAATTCTCGAGAACGCGAGTCTAGTCCGGTCTTGGGAAGAACACAGGAAATTCTGCACGAGAATGGGAGCACGCAGCATAGATATGGGTCAATTGGAACAGAAGCGTACTTGTGACGTCACCACACGCACAGCTCGTCTAGAGCTGTATTTCACCTCCTGTTATTAATCGTCTCTAGATAATAATAAATTCAGACTTTTTTAATTTAGTGGGGGAATAATAACTAACACAGCTAGATAAACACAAATCAAATGAACATTTTGCAATCTAAAGCAAAAAAAAAATGCTGCTGCAGTGCATGCTGGGACAGCTGTCAATTTCAAGAACGGACAAGTCTGCTCTGATGCATACTCGATAAAGAGGACGGGGCAAGAACAACATCCGGGGATTTGGTGCAATCTCGGTCTGGCGTTCTCGGCAATTGGAACATTGCTCGAGCTGAGGCTGATGACATTACACGAGTACACAAGCACACGAGAACGCACAACAACGCATATTGAGAAACGGCCATGAAGATGAGAGGCTTCTGTTGTCAAGGTAACCAATAGCTTAGCGGCTAACAACAGCTAACCAACAGCTAATCAGCAGGCCGCAAACACGCAATTGCAAGTCAGTCTTACTTCGGTACACTAGCAGCTATGAAGGTAACCAATAGGCCAGGAATCTCAAAATGTTGGACCGTGCCAAAACTCTGCCATTAAAATTTATACGGATCATAAAAGAAGATGATCTCCAAAAGATGGCCTATCCAACTAAAATGTGGCTGAGTCTAAATTTCAGCAAGACAGCTTAGCAGAAGTGACGGCTTTAACATTTAAAAACACACAACTTTATATTTGTCACGATAACATCAGCAAAATCATTTCAAGGAGCTCCTTCTTATTAAAGCAATCAGCATTTAACTACTAATTTTCCTTGCCCCAGGCAAAATTATCTGTTAAGTGTAAATTAGGAAATA